CCCATGAATGGACACCCCCAATGATATACAAATAATAAAATATATAAAAACTCTACTTAAGTACTAAAAACGACAATGTGAACATCTAAAAACGACAATGTGTACATCTGCAACGACCCACCCAAGTGCAAATGTTCTCGGGGTCAAAACGCTCCACCAGAAGAGTACTATAGTGCTCTCTGACGGATCGTCTAAACATTGATCTGCCAACCCCTGAACGTGTGCAAATGGGAAGGGCGTTCCAGATGGGAACAACGCGATTGAAAAAAGACCGGCAAAACGTTTCGGTTCTACAGAAGTTGGCACTGTGGATGATAAAATGATCTCCCCTTCTTTCTCTAAAATACAAAAATTTCGTATGATCAAGGTCAGTCCTGCCAATAAAACAACTATGCAGAAAGGTAACGTCTAAAATTTCTCTTCTATAAGCTAAAGGCAGCAAATTTAAAGCAACCAGTCTGTCTTTATAATTCATCTGGTTACCCAGTATATGTCTTGTGGCAGTTCGCTGCACCCTTTCTAGTTTTATTAAATTTTCTTTTGTAATGTGATCCCAAGATACCGAATTAAACTCAAGCTTTGAACGTACTAACGAATCAAAAAGAGGCTGCATTAACCTTGGGTTCCTATTTCTGTCAAACACTCGCCTAATAGTTGCCCATGTCTGATTTGCATTCTTAACAATGTTATTTATATGTGAATTAAAAGTCAACTCGCTACTAACGGTAACTCCTAAATCCCTTACGTCATGTACCTTTGTCAGCGCATGTCCAAGAATGTTATAATAAAATACAGTTGGATTGACCTTCCTCGTGACACTTAACAGCATACATTTTTTAGCATTCAGTTTCATTCCCCACCTATTACACCACTCTACTACCTTCTCAAGATCCTCCTGGAGGGCCAAACAATCAGCCAGAGAGCTAATTAATCTATGCATTTTTGAGTCATCAGCAAAAAGAGACATAGTTGTGAACCGGTCAACAACATCAGGTAAGTCATTGACATAGAGTAAAAACATCAGTGGCCCCAAGATTGATCCTTGTGGGACTCCAGAAGTTACATCACTAGTATATGAGATTTCACCATTTAAGCATACTCTTTGCTGTCTTCCAGTTAGATATCCGCTAAACCAGTTTAATAATTTACCATTTATCCCAAAACTACGCAATTTATGAACCAAAAGTTGATGAGGCACGACGTCGAATGCCTTACTAAAATCTAAATAAATGACATCAATCTGCTCTCCTCTATCCAAATTCTCCCCTATTGAATGTAATGCTTGTACTAGTTGAGTGCCAGTTGAACGTTGTGCACGAAAACCATGATGAGCATCATTAAATTTAGGTAGGATTAGTTCGGTCAGTTTAGTGTGGATCAGTCTCTCCATAACCTTGGAAATAGTACATAACAAAGATACTGGCCTGTAGTTTTCAACCTTACCCTTTTTACCCTTCTTAATCACAGGCGTGACATTTGCCAACTTCCAAATATTAGGCAGCTCACCAGTCAACATACAACGCACAAGAGTCACTTAATGATGCGGCACATTCCTTCAATAGTTTTGGCGGAATTCCATCAGTACCGTTAGCTTTGTTTACGTCAAGACCTAAAAGACAATTTAACACCTCTTCGGTCGTAAATTCAAAACATTCTAACCAAGGTTCGACCACCATGTCAATATCTGGCAAAACTGTATTGTCATTAGAAAAAACGGCAGTGAAGTAATCATTAAACAATTTGGCTTTAACACCGCAATCAACCCCCTTCACACCATTGTAACTGATAGATTTCGGTATCCTATCAGCATTTACTTTATTGTGGTAAAACGACCAAAAGCGCTTCGGATTGGACCTTGACTCCCTACCTAGTGCTTCGATATATGTTTTATAACTAGCACGTGACTTATCCCTCAACCTATTTCTCAAAAATCTATACTTATTCCAAGCTGTTACTTTACCATCCCTTCTAGCTTTACGCAACGCTGACTTCACTCTATTTGACAAATGCTTTATCTCTCTCGTAACCCACCAAGGTCTACCTTGGATGATGGAGGGAGAAATATGAAAGAGACAACCATAGCCCCTTTTTTTCATTCAGATGGCAACATCAATGCCAACTTGATTAAGGTAATAGAGAGCCTTATAATAAGGCCAGCAGTGCAGTCTTCTTAAATGGCAGCATAGGGGAATGGTTTAGGACAGCAGTAGGAGTCAGACAAGGATGTTTGCTTTCACCCACCCTCTTCAACATCTTCCTTGAGAGAATCATGACCGACGCACTGGAACATCATGGCGGAACTGTCAGCATTGGAGGCAGGACAATCACTAACCTGCGGTTTGCCGATGACATTGACGGACTGGCCGGGGAAGAACAGGAATTGGCAGACTTTGTAGCAAACCTGGATAATACATAAGCAGCATTTGGTATGGAGATCAGTGCAGAGAAGACCAAACTGATGACAAACAGCAGTAATGGCATCAGCACTGACATCAGAGTGAGAGGAGAGAAACTTGAAGTGGTCAATAAGTTCAGGTATCTCAGGTATCAGACGAAGGATCAGAACCAGAAATCCTGTCAAGGATAGCGCAAACAACAGCAGCGATGAAGAAATTGAAGACCATCTGGAATGACAGGAGAATTACACTCAACTCAAAAATCAGACTAATGCGCGCCCTGGTGATTTCCATATTCCTGTATGCATGCGAGTCATGGACAATGACAGCTGAGCTGGAAAAGAAAGTAAAATCTGTAGAGATGAGATGCTTTAGAAAGATCCTTGGAATCACGTACTGAGACCACATCACTAATGAAGAGGCACAGAACAGAATCAAGCAAGCCCTTGGTCCATATGAAGATCTTTTGTCTATTGTGAAAGGACGGAAACTGAAGTGGTATGGCCATGTTTCACGATCACCAGGACTTGCCAAGACAATCCTGCAAGGCACAGTACAAGGAGGCAGGAGAAGAGGTAGACAGAGGAAAAGATGGGAGGATAACATCCGCGAGTGGACAGGCTATGGGAAGGACGGATGATCGAGATGGATGGAGAGCACTGGTTGCCAGTTCATCTGTTGTGCCCCTACGGTCGCAGACTATGGGACAGATAGATAGATAGATAGACTGTTGGAATACTCAGAATGCGCTTGAATGATGAGTGCACTTTCGGCTTTATTATCTCTCAAAAGCAGTTCGAATGTAGTTGGAAAACTAGGAATATTTATAATGCTCTAAGAAGGCAGTAAGAATATTTAGAATATGCTTTGAACGGATCAGTAGCGTAGTTCGATTGCTGGCAACATTAATATTTCTGCTTATCCGAGGCACATTCGAAAAATTCTGGCGGGATATAAAATCCCCGTCACACTAGAGGCGGAATGATTAAGAATGGCGTCTGAAATACAATTCTTTGTGCATTCCAGGATATTCGAAGAGCATTCTAAAAACATTCTAAAATTTTGAGTGCATTCCAAATGTTTTACCCATTCTTGTGGCCGGCTGGAATGTTTTTGTCATGTCAAAAACTGTCGAAATGCATTCCAAGGGGAAATTTATCGCAATATCCCTACAATATCCCAACTACATTCGAGCTGCATTTGAGGTGTATTATACCTGGAATGTGCAAGAATCATTTCAGGTGGGTTCGATGTGCATTCTTAGTATTCCAGAGGCATTCTTACAAATACGTAATATTTTATGATAATTTGTAATTCCCTCCTGAATATGGTACGAATTTATTAATTTAGTAATTCCGGCTTGATTCCTACTGATATCGAATAAGTTTGACGGGGACTCTAAGTCACTTGTCAGACTATTCCTCTTATGTGATCAGAATGTTTCGAATGCTGTCGGAATGCCGTGAGAATATTTAGAATGCAGTCATAGTGTAGTTAGAGTAATGTTCAAATGCCATTCGATATATTTCGACTTGGAAGGCATTTCGAAAGTTTTTGACATGACAAAAACATTCGGGATGCCACAAGAATGGGTAAAAATATTTAGAATGCACTCGGAATTTTTAGAATGCTCTTGGAATATCCAGGAGCGTACAAAGAATTGTCTTTCCGACGACATTCTTGCTCATTCCGCCTCTAGTGTGACGGGGGCATTATAGAACTACTCCACACCGCGGAAAAAAAAAACAATCGGAGCCGTTCTCATTATAAGAAATCGGTAAATTAATTTTCATTATTTTTACTATGAATAAACAACATACAGTGTAAGCAGAGGCGCAGTCCGCAATGGTAAACAGAATGAATATCAGGCCTACCCAACTACCAGACTCGGCATCGAATGATCCTGAATTCACCGGTAGATCAGACCACACTACCCGTTTTCAAGGTGTGAGTCAGTACGCATTACACAGTATCATACCCTGAACAAATTTTGAGTGGTGATGCAATGCTTTTCAACCCCGCTGAGAATCGTCAAGGCAAGAGCGCTGTCGCGTCTAATACTGTGAAATGCGCACTGATACACACCTAGAAAACGGGTACTGTGGTCTGATTTGCCGGTGAATTCAGGATCATTCGGTGCCGAGTCTGGTGGTTGGGTAGGCCTGAATATGTTGTGTTCAGTCTACTCGCAACTCAGGATTGTGCAGATTAAACTTCTGGCAGCAAATTTCGAGGAGGATTCGCATATCACTCGGCTTGGTTTGTGCAGGTGCGAAACCCATCATAAACATCCGTCTTTTGAAATAAAAGATTTAGAATGGTAAAATGAGTTAAACACCTCAGATATTATTTATTATACTAAAAGGCTATTTTATTGTGCAAATAAGTGAAAAGTATTTTACTTCTCGAAATTTAATGGAATCTTCAGACTTTCACTTGCCTCTGTATTGGATAATATGACGTCAGAATATGGCTGACATCTAGCGGTATAGAGTAAAAAAAATGCACTTCAACGACTCTCATAAAAAGTTGCTACAATAAACTTTGACGAAACTTGACAATTATATTTCTTATTAAAAAAGCCACATTTTGCTTACTTTACTAAGATACGTTGTTTCTAATAAAGGAGATATATCACATTGTCACAGTGTTGCTACGGCCCAAAATTGACCCGTTGGCCGACTTCATCGAGTTCTATCTCATTCATGTCTGCTTCCTTGCAAGTAAATCGCACACGTAAAGACGCGTAGTGAACTCTGCTACCACTTCTTGATTTTTCACAAGCACGTATGAGGGAAATTAAGGGCAATTCATGAATTTCTGCGATAGTTACACATTTTGCAAAATTTCGACCGCGACGTCATCTCAGCGCACGCGCTCCGTTCTGAATATTCTCCTACGCGCAACCAGTTGCCATATGACTGTATATGTTGACTTGACAACGGATCAACCTAATTGTAAACAGAAACACTCTGAGAAAGATATAAGCAGGCCCACATATTTTGGAATGGGTTCTTTTAAGAATATCAATTGGCTTGGTTCATTTTGAATGTTAAACAATGAATCTTTGTTTGCATAAGACTAAAGTGTGTGTAAACATCTAATTTTGCCGTAATTTTACCTTATGTCGTTTTTTTGTTAGTCCTAGCAAATCTGGATCCGGTTTCATCAAGGCTGGATAGCGTTATCCCATGGGTAAAAATGGCTACTGTCCTCTCAGTAGAACTATCCAGAGGATAATGCGTTTCATCAACAGTGGATAGCGTTATCCAGGGGATAAATCAGCTTATCCAGAGGATAGAGTTGCCCGCTCGAAATAGGTGAGACAAATCTGCTATCATGTTATTTTAATTTTTAAAAATGTTTAAAAACCATCAAAAATGGCGAACCTGCTTGCTTTGTGAGTAAATCCTATTAGATTTCACAGGCGTAGAATGATCAGAAAGATAATTTTAGATGGTGTGTGTTTGATTTTGATGCGTTATGTGATACCAGGCCCGTAGCCAGGGGGGTTCGGGGGGTTCGAAAGAACCACCCCTTTTGCTGGGAAAAGGTCCACTCTGGGTAAAATTTTATCTAGGTACATGACGTTTTTATGGAAAAAGGTCCACTTTTTCAGAAAAAGAACCCCCCTTTTGAAATTGCTGGCTACGGGCCTGGATACTGAATCAATATATCACATAACAGACTTTATCAAAGTTGAAATCGCACCTGCTACGAACAGAACCCATGCCATCTCCGTGAGAGACCAATTATCTTTTATTTTACTAAAACATACCTGTTCAATAGACGAAAAAATGGGGCTATCAGTTTTTTTCACCACTGGGTGGCGCGCGTGTTTTAGTTGGGGTACTTTTGCGCATGCGCGTACTTTCTCGTGTGTTTGCAGTTTCATTTTTAATCTGACGCTGTAAATATCGCTCTAAATAATGCCAGGATACTGTTGTGTTCCGGAATGTACATCGTCAACAGCAGATCATTCTTTTCCGAAACACACAAAGCTGAGTTACCAGTGGAGAATTGCCATCAGGAGGGTTGAATCTACATCAAAAACACTATGGAAACCAAAGGCACGTGACAAAGTCTGTTTCCTCCACTTTCGTGAGGAAGATTACACTTCTACGTAAGTTGTACTTGCTGTTGTCGCTTTTAGTATTTATAATAAGTTTGTCAACTTATTTATTAGGTCTTTGTTATCGATGTTTAAGTAATTATGTTGTTTAACGTGCTTAGAATGTTAATTTTTAAGACATTCTTCACCTAACATTATGTAGCGATTTGGGGGAGAAAACACTCTACCGACTAAGCTACCGAGCCCGGGTCAACCCCGACCAGCCACTACAATTATTTCTTCGTTTTTATGTGATAATACATTAGGTTTTTTAAAGGCCACGTTTTCAAATTAGGACAACTTGATTTTTATTGTATTAATAATCGTTATGTGCACTCCTTTTGCAGATGAGAGAAAAAGACTGAAGCCAGGAACGATATACCATATCCATATTTCCATTTATTAATTCGCAAAGTATGAGATCCGATGAAGTGGAGGTAAATATAACGCTTGATATAATAACAGATTTATAAATAAAATGTTTCTTTTTATTTGTATAATTATCTGTCTTAATACTAGAAATACGAGAGACGGACTAAAGGGGACAAGAGACAGTCAGATCTGCGTCATTTCTGTCATCTACACAGAATTTATGTGTTAATTAACAATGAAGTATTTTTCTTTGTGTAATTTATTAACTTATGTATTTATTTTTTGTTGTATCCTATATAGGATGAGTCTCAAGCAGATGAAGCAGTGGCAGACAAACATGAAGACTGCCCTGGTGAGAGCCAAAAAGAAAGTACAGCTTCCCAGTGTGATATCACTACACCATCAGACACAAGAGAAAGCATCATGCTGTACCAGAAAAATGCAAAGGCTGTCCAGTATCAAACTGGATTTAGTCATATTGAACATTTCATGTTGTTTTTCAATGGCCTTGGGCCAGCAGCTCACCACTTGAATTTCAAATGTTTGTCACCAGGGCCAATGTTTTTTGATCATTATGAAACTGAGACAAGCCTTTGGCGATTATTTAGCTCTCCGTTTCAAGCTATCGGTAACAACGGTGTCAGAAATAATAAGCGCATGGATCAACTTTGTTTTTCCAGCTCAGTGAAATGAACATTTGGCCAGAACGTGACATTGTTGACGACTATATGTCTGTAAATTTTAAGAAATATGAAGTATTGATTTCATGGGTAAACAACAGTGACTGGCATAATTTGTCCTTGTGTTGTCTTTCGGTTGCATTCAAAATATCACCAAACCTAAAAATGATAAAATTGAATTAGTGAGATAGGTTTTTTTACTGTTCTTTTCAATTTGTATTCAAAATGCAAAATGAAATTGTACATTCATAGCATTAAATGTTGACCTTCAAACCATGATATATCATCTCAAAACTTGTATTTCTGTATTATAATGCAACTACAGGTATATATAGTAGCTCAAGCTAGGACATGATATTGATACAAGACATTTGAACAAATAAAAAACAAGCAAACTTATTTTCGTTTGCACACCTACCTCGATGCTGTTATTCTCCATGATCTTTCTTCATGCCACACTCGACTTTTACTTTGGCCTCTACTTCTGTTTTCAAGTTCGGACACTTCCTTCTCTGTGACCTACCAACATCAATGCAATTATGAGGGAGTGAAAAAAAAACAATGATGCTAACAAAACGATGCTAACATTCTTGGCAAACACTGTTTTGATTGTCTACCTCATCTACACTTAGTTATGTCAACTGTCATTGACATAAAACACGCATCAACCCTCGTTTCTCCTTTACAAATTTGTGTTGACACAAGTCATGTGTTTAATGTCGGACCTGGTACACGAAATTTGATTACCGAAACGAACGGTCCTTTATCGACTAGGAGTGCCTACAATAAACATATTTTAAACATAAATACCTTCATTATATACTTCGAATATGGAAATACGCAATGACAATATCATTATCTTGAAATATAGTAAGTAGTGCGGAACTAGCCGCCGCTTACACCTGGCTTTTGACAGGGAGCTCACACAGAAACCCATATTTTACGGGAAGATTCGAGCGCGAAACCTTCATTATTAATGATACAATTGACACATTTATAAGTAAACACACTAACCTTTCTACCAAATCCTGTTTCTTTCCTTGGAGGCTCCTCTTTCAACTAGTTGAAGTTTTAACTTCGCCACCGTTTACTTCCCATACATGCCATTTCTACACGGACGCGAAAACGAGGCTATCTTTAATAACCACTATTACCCCAGCGCCCTCTTTAGGACAAACGGCTCCGCGTATAGCCCCATTCTACAATGCTATTGAGAAATCAAGCGTGCCAAGTCAACCATTTTGTTAGAAATTAAGTATGTCATGACCTTGCCCTTCAACTACAAATCTGTGTAAACATTGCATGAGGCACGCTAATGCAATGTGAGGTGTTTTTGACACTGACACTAAAATATCGTGTAAGATTTTTTTTATTATTATTTTAATAAATGTACCATCTTGGATTATACCTAGAATATTGTTATATTTCCCAAATATGGTATACACCACTTTTTTGTAAGCAAGTATCATGGCTTTTATAATGTTTTAACAGCCAACTGGGTTTGGAAATGTACTTTTTCCAAATATGGTATTGGGTATATTTTTTTAACTACTAGATTACTATCATGCTGTTTATCCAGCTTTTGTGAAACACACATTTATACAGGAGATTACTGTCCAGAGAAAGTTAAAAGATTTATACCATGGATAGCGTCATCCATAGGATAGCATATCTAGCCATGATGAAACCGGGCCCTGATGTTTTTTTTCTTTTTTTTTTTTTTTTTTTTTTTTTACCTTTTCTTATGTTTGGCCATGTCCCGTTCGGACATTTTGTGCAAAGGCATGCTGAGGGTGTGCCTTGTTCCCAACATTCCTTAGGTCTGTCAGGGGCGTAACCATTGAATTCTTCGCACCAGCATGTCGTTTCATTATCCTGAGAAAGAAACCAATTTGAACAACCTAAATTTACTTTTGATTGCTATCATAGGATATACGCCTGTCCCGTCATGGAATGATGTATAATTGTACTTTTAAAACACGTGGCATGGTGTGTTTTCTTTGTTATCCTTATCCAATTGCTGCCTTTTCTATATACGTTTAAGAGTTCTATTAAATTGGTTTTGTTTGACACAATAAGGTCGTTTACAGAGGGTTGCACTGATTAAAGGACAGTGTGATGTAAAATGGTTTATTTGTTTTATTTGAAGACTAACCTTAATCTGTATGATTATATTTGAGATCACGTTCCGAGATAAGCAAAATAGGTCAAGTTGTGAGTGGTTCTAGTTCAAGTTGTGAGTATTTACTAATTTATTCAGATTTTCAATGTACCAGTTATCAACTTAACGTTTAATACTATAATAAGTATGGAATATAGTGTTAACACATTTCTGAAACGTTTGCGTCTTACACCAATATTTTATACGCTGCTCTTAATGACACAAGGTATTTGACCGGTGTCGAGTTACAAATTCAATCTTCATATTCACTTAATTCACATATTCAAGTGTAGTGTGGATGTGTATGTACGTCATGTTTTCAAATTTACAAGTTCATGGCGGATATAAAAACATGTATAATGCATCTTGTTCGTAAAGCCACACAACATTCATCATTTTGACACTCCGTCATTACCTTTGTCGCATTTATAGTTTGTCCTTCATCAGTACACTTCACACGTTTCCAGTGTTCCCCTGTAAAAAAGACATATTCACAAATACATTTTGCTTTTATTTCTGATATATGCGACGTTTGCAGCACATCACGGTTAGACGCTTAGTATTGTTATTTTATACTGAGGTAGAGAGTTCGCATTTCATCCCTGATAAAAATCTATTTTTGCAAAATGTAACAAAATATATAATGTCGATTACCATAATTAAACCCTTATTATAAACGAATTGGTTTATAATTATTTATCAGTTGTTATCAGTGATATATGCCGGTGTACCATGAAAATCTGACTCCCCTAGAATGTGACTCCCCAGTCAGATTTTCATAATGAAAATCTGACCCCCCTATGAAATTTTGACTCCCCCCGAAAAAAAAAAACATTCATAAATCTCATTTAATTTGAGTAAATGACTGTGATCTTGTAGTATGCATGGACACGTTTTGTTAGTTTGCAGGTGAAATTTTCATGAAAAAAATAAAAAGTAATAAAATATTTGTATTTTACCACCCAGGGACTCCCCTATGAAAAAGCTATTTATTTGACATTTGATGACCAATTAACAGCTTTCCTTTTAGAATACTTAATGAAGTTTATATTGGAAGTACTTGAAAAATTGATGGTAAAAAAAATTGGGTGAAAAAAATAAAAATGAGAAAAAAAATTATATCCCAACACCCAATGACTCCCCTATGGAAAAGCTATTATGATATTTGATGATCATTCTGACATCTTTTCTTTTAGGATACTTTATGAAGAATATATAAAAAGTATTTTCATTTTCATATGCCTTGGATTTGGACTCCTATGGACTCTCATTAGGGAAAGGCCCCATTTTATATTTGCTGTTGTTTTTCCCATTTTTCCCAAAGCTGAATGGAAAATGGGGATTGATGATTTTAAATGGATAATAAATTTGCATTCTTGTAACAGTAGGATTTAGACTCCCCTTGTCTTTCAATTATTTCCAATATAAATATTTCCAATATAATTTTTCACCCAATATTTTACCATCAAACTTACAAATATTTCCAATATAACCTTCATAAAGTAAAAGTAAAGGAAAGATTTTGAAATAACCATCAAATGTTAAATAGATAGCTTTTTCACGGGGGAGTCACTGTGTGATAAAATGCACATCTTTATTTTTTATCCACCCAATAGTTTACCATCAAACTTTCAAATATTTCCAATATAATCTTCATAAAGTAAATTAAAAGGAAAGATGTAGAAATGATCAACCAATATCAAATGAATAGCTTTTTTATAAGGGAGGCAATGGGCAGTTAAGTGCACATTTTTAATTTTCTTATTTTTTCATGAAAATTTTCACCTGAAAACTAAACAAGGCAGCAAAGCTGTCAAATGTACAGACAAAAAAAGAAAATAATGATGCAAAATAGGTCATTTTGCCAATTTTGATGCAATAATAAATAATGCTTATAATAGCACTGTTAGTCAACACTGAATTTTAATCATGCACAACAGGTAACATGGTCAATAACAGGAGCTGACCCAGAGATATTTTCTGACAGTATTCCAAAGTATCTTTGTTGATCCATCCTCTATTTTGATGATCTTCCAACAGAAAAAAAAATAAATATCAGTCAATATAAACTTAAAAATCCGAACGTCTTCCGGAAGCTGACCCAGAAGATGGTCTCAATCCATCCCTTCAATAAGATTACAGTATCAGGACCATGAGAGACCAAAGTCACATGATGAAAGTCTCAATATTTGAAAAATGATGACAGTGCATAAAATAATATTACATAATGTTTGAAAACATAAATAACATACAACTGCTTATGTGGAAATACAGAAAATGTGCAGAGCTTCAGGCGGTTAAATATCACAAATGCAAG